CACCAACTTTATTCATCACATTTAATACCGGACTACTTTTGGCTATTTCCAAATCTGGAATTTATCCTCAAAGAATGAATATTTGCAACTCCTGAGTATACTGAAAAGAATGTGATAAGCCTCGTACTTGGGTGGAAGGAACAATGAAAAATGAATCAGAAAAACTTGCTTCTAGATTCAACGTGTCATTACCAACTATATGACCTAAGGAAAGTCGTATAATCTCACTCAACCCATTTTTTTCTTCTACAAAATAATGATGCACATATCTGCCTTGTTAACTTTTAGAGCTGTTGTTAATACATGCTCCATGCGACAAAAGACACAAACCCTGGACTGGGCTAGAAATACAAAGTTGAGTAAGAAGACAGACGCTGACCTTCTCTAGTGGACAGAATCAAAATAATACTATGTCTGTGAAAGCATTTAAAAAATTTGAAAAGTGATATGTGTTACTGGACCCTTCATGCTCCCAGTAACGATGGCCACCCTAGAATTATGGGATAATACACAACCAATCTTAAGAGTCTTTATTAACTTTATGATTAATCCTGGGACTAAGCAATACAACAGCACCTGCCTAGCCTAAAGGAGGAAGCTTCTAAAAGTTAATAAGGGCTAAACCTCCCAATTCATTGCAACAGCTTTCAAAACTCCCTTTCAGTTCAGCAATCTATTCCCCTATTCCATCCCCTGTGCGACTCTCCGAAAACTCTGATCGTAGTTTGTAAGGGACTGTCTGGAAGCTAAGACTGAAGATGTTGCTCTCCTACCAGACTCAGAGATATCTGGTGGTGTGGTGGGTCCCTGAAGCATGCAGTGCTGCTCAGGAGCAGGTGAAACCCTCCTCTGGGTCAGACTACAGGCTCGTTTACTGCTTATTACCAGAGTTTCCTCTGCATCATCCTGCATTAATACTATAAAAGAGATTACAAAATCTCACATAGCAATTAAAGGAAAGGTAAAGAATCTAACTACAATCTTCCCATTGGCACAAAGGCAAACTATAAAACATGTCAAGAAATGCAGGATACTAAATGTTAGAGAGTGGGATAAAACCAAATAAGACATTACTTTGGAGTATTGAAATGAGAGAAGACTGCACGCCAAACAATGAGGTGGCTTTGAGATAGGCCCTGCTAACCTCAAATGTATTTACCCCATTTTAAAGTCTCTTCAGTCCCATGAAAATGTAAAGCATAGTCAATGTGTCATGAGCAAGACTCATTAAGCACACAGCTAACTACATTTCCCAGCCTTCCTTGGACTCAGGTTAGCCCTGTGACTGAGTTTCTAGCCAACAGAATGTGAGAAGAAGTTATGTGCATCACTTTCAGGCCTGGCCCACAGGCATCCTTCTGGCTGTCTGGAAGGAAGATAACCCCTGGATGCCTTGTGCTGAAGAAGGTGGGGTCTCCATCAGTCTGACTGAGTTACCCAATGGAAGAGGGCCACTCTACTCATCTGTTTACCCATCCAGTACCATCATGTGAACAAGAAAGAAACTTCTACTACGTTTGAGACTTCACAACATTTTGGGAGTTATGCTCCTCTAAATAATAGACTCCAACAGCAATTACTTAAAAAATATATATAGTATGTGTTTTGAAAATATTTTGAGTCGTGCTGGTGTCACTGAAGTTCTTGGGAGGAAACAGAGTAGTAGTTATGAGTGTGATCTTGGCAATCAGACAGGCCTGAGTTGGAGTCCATGTTTACCACTAGCTAGATGTGTGGTGTTGATCAAGTTTCTCTAAGCCTCAGTTTTTCTTAAATGTACAATATTGGGATATTAGTAGGATCTATTTCATAGTATTGCTGCTTATCACAGGGCCTGGCACATAATAAGTACTCAAGAAAAGTTAGCTATCAGTATTGAATATATATCCTCCCAGGTAATTTTTAAAAATTAAACTGTAGTAGTCATTAGTGCTGTTATGAAGTCATTCTGGTTTTCCTTCCGGACAAAGGGTGGGATTGCCCTTCGCTTCCCATCCCTTATAGTTATATGATGTACCCATGTGATTTATTTTGACCAATGAAATGTGAGTGGAAATGACGTATATCATTTCCAAGTGGAAGTTTTAAAAGTCAGCATGCATTTAAAAATGCTGTCTCTTTTTTTCTGCCACACAAATGGCAATGATCCAGCTAGTGGCTTGTCTGTCAGCTTGGGTCCTAGAGAGAGGAAAACACCAGCCAACCCATGATGTATATGTAGCATGGTCAAGAAATAAATCCTTGTTGTTTTAAGCAACTAGAGATGTGTGGTTTATTTGTTACTAGCCCCTCCTGCTCTGTACAGGAACAAATATTCATATGAGTAAGTTAGTTTTTAAAATAGTTTCATTATTTTATAGCAACCTTTAATAATAATAGGTGACAATTGTAGAGTGCTTACAATCTCGCAAGAACTGCTATGTGCTGTACATGTGTTAACTCATCCATTTCCACAATAACCCAATGAGATACCTGCAGTAGTCTTATCCCCACTTAGTAGGGACAGAAAAGTTAAATGACTTGCCTAAGGCAACATAGCCAGTACATAGTAGATACCAGTTTTAAACCAGCCCATCTGACTCTTGAGGCTGTGCTATGCACCTTGCATTCAGTTACTTCCTGAAGTTGATGCTGTGGTGCACCTCCCAGGTCCCTGCTTTAGGACCAAGGCTTTCATTTCATCAGTTGTCAGAAGCACTGATTGTTGATGGGCTGGTTCAGAACAGTCCCTCCCTGGGAATCGCCCTCAGACACAGAGAACTGCCTCATCCTAGGCAGGCGCCTCCCTGAAGGTCTGGCAGAGACTGCTGCATCCGTGTTGCAGCTCAACTTCTCCCTTTGCCCTTTCCTGCCATCCTCACTCCCATTGTTCCCCAAAGCCTTCTCCAATAAACTTTCTTCATGTAAATCTCAGAGTCTCAGGGTATGTTTCCTAGAAAACCAGAACGACAATATCTCCCTATGCATTCCTACATGTGTACTGAAATATACACACACCACGTATTAACTCAATGCACTTGTTAACTGCCAAATAACTGTCACAGACCATGTGAGTTCAGAGAAAATACAGATCATTGGACTGTCTGGAGAGGACTGGAATGATGAAACCTCTCACAAGTTAATGGAGATAGAGAATCTTCTACTTTCTCAATCGAATTCAGTATATTTCATTTCTCATAAGTGTCACCTATAGTTATTTAGATCCAGAAAAAAAGTCCAAAAAAGAACCACATATTTTGTATATAACAAATGATAGTTGGTGTTTATTATGACATTTATTCATACTTGTAAGTAGAAGTAGGAAATTGTCTCAAGGTTACATAACTCATGATGTACTCTTCATCTTTTTCATGAAGACAGATGTCTCAAGAGGCTAGAAGCCATGTATCTTTATTGTGCTAAATATTATATATCTCTGTGTTTTAATTATACATAAGAATACTACTGAAAACTGATTTTTATTTCTAACAAATGATGAGTAGAACCTAAAATTTAATTCATAACCCATCAGCTCTCTCCTGCACATCTTAGCTTATTTGACACCTAATTCAAATAAAATTTAGTGAGCCAAGTATTATTTCTGATGTATTTCTTTTAGCACAATTGAGTATTTCTCGCAATTTAAGCTCTATCCCAATATCAGTTGTCTACATTTCCTCAAAAGAGAAATACATGTTCTAAAACTTGACATAAATAAGCAATTCATAGAGGTAGTAACAAAACAAGCCAAATTATAAAACCAAAAGAGTCTAAATGCATCTATGTAATTTAAGATAAACATTATTACCTACTTTACCTTAGTATATGCATAACTTATACATTTTACATTACATACCTTCACTATATATTGATGAAGATTAATGGCTAATGTTATACAGAATTCAGAAGAAATTAGATTATTACATTTTCTTCTTTATGGATTGTCTTAGTCTGCTCAGGCTGCTTAACAAATACCATAGACAGGGTGGCTTAAACAACGGAAATTTCTCTCTCACATTCTGGAGGCTGGAAGTCCACGATTATGGTGCCAGCATGGTCAGGTTCTGGTGCGAGCTCTCTTCCTGGTTTGCAGATGGCGCCTTCTCCTTGGACCTTCATGTGGCAGAGAGAGAGAGAGAGAGAAAGCAAGCTCTTTCATGTCTCTCCTAAAAGGGCTCTAATGCCATCATGAGGGCTCCACTCTCATGACCAAATTACCTCCAAAAGGCCCCATCTCCAAAATCCATCACATTAGTATTAAGGCTTCAACATATGAATTTGGGAGGGGACACAAATATTTAGTCCTTAGAAGGTATTTATTCTTATTCTTCACCTAACCAAAGAAGCTTGAATTCAGCCATGAAAACTTTACATTGAGTAGCCAATAATGTCCGTAGAATTTTAAAAGATTGTAAATCAGTGTGGAGCTTGCATTTACCAAACAGGTAACAAAGCCCTTTGTTACCATCATTTCAAAATGTAAATAAGAATTGTATTCCTTATTGGCTGCTTTAATTTTGTTGAATGTACATTAAATTATGTTAATGCTTCAGTAGGGACATATTTTTGCTTTATATTACTACCCATTGAACAATTACTTTATTTTCACAGGATTACAGAGAGGAATAGAAAATATGCACCCTGTAAATTAGAGAAGTACTTGAGGGTAGCCCCTTGGAGTAACCAAGGAAAGAACAGCCAGAAAGAGTGGAAATATTAAATTATAGGATATTTTCAGAGAAATACAATCTTGGAAAAAATTGTCAGTGCCTAAGACAATTCAAACCAAACAAAGAACCTCCATAATAGTGGTTCTTAAGAGATTTGGTTTAATGCCTAGTAAAGAATTATCGAAAATTAGCATATCAATTATTTGCAGGTAAACAGTTGCTTTTTCTGGGTGTTCAAAAACAATTTGTTTACTGAAATAATTATAAATATCCCCCCAGCAATCTGATTTTATATATTAACTTGGACATATTAAAGCAAATTTTGCCTCTTCCTCTCCTCCCAGGTGCTACGCCTCCATCTGGCTAAGCCACAGTTCTGGACATTTGTGATATCAACTGCTAGACTTCCATCTCATCTTGGTCCTCTGAAAGACATATATTATGCTTACTCATTCTGTAAATGCTTCTTCTATCAAAATGCATTTTGTCATTAAAATGCCTAAGCATAAATATAAAAATATTTAATTTAAAGCAAGGTTTTAAAAGGCCATCTACCTAAACATAATACGATATTTTCCTTACTATATTTTACATCTCATGAATAATTACTTGATCTAATCCTGGGATTGAACAGAGTAGTTCAAATGCAGGTGGACTCCTAAGACAGAGAACATCTCAAAACTTGTCCTTGACTCTCAACCAGGCACATTCACCCACAGCAAACCCTGAGACAGAAGAAGTGAAAGTAAGAATAATGATCATGACTAGAGAAGGTATTTTTGGTTAAGAGGATATATTAAACAGAAGAGCGATTTCTGTTTACAAAAAAAGTGTTACAAAAGAGTTTCTTCTCAAAATAGTTATTCACAGTATTAAACTTCATTAAATTTTTTTCAAATGATTACAAATTCTCAATAAAAAATGGGCAAATCTTAAAGATTTTATTGTAGTACGTAATTTAGATAACAAGGCAATAGGCAGCGTATGTATTACTTCATATGAATAAGTTACTCTGCATAATTAAAGAGAGTGATATGCATATTGGTTCAGAACATGGGCTTTGGAGCCAGATTATCTAAGTTCAAATCTTGACTTCACCAATTCCTAGCCATGTGACTGTGGGCCATTTATCTAACTCCCTGTGCCTCAGTTTCCTCATCTAATAAATGGAGATGATCTTAATTATACCTACATCATAGAATATTATAAAGATTAAAGGTATTAATACACAAAAAGCAATTAGAACAGTGCTTAGCACATGGTAACTACTCAAAAAGCATTTGCTACCCAGTTTTGCTACTTAATTTTTCCAGGCTGGAGTTGACTTATAAATTCTCCAAATTTTGTGTCCCAGTTTAGACACTCATGTAATCTATTATGTGTACATATAGTGTTTTTTAAGCTTCTTACCATTGAAAAATGTGTTTATAACAACTTTGACGTCAAAAAAAAATGAAGTGACTTTTTTAAAAGCTTCGTATTGTAAAGAATTGTGACCTACTTACTCTCGGTCTGGGAATAGCCCAGGCTTTCCAACCTGAAGTTTAGAACATAAGAAATGCCACACTGTGGCACCCCCAGCTTCTGTGGCTCTTCATTCTCTCTTTGACAAAGGAACCTAGAGGAAGACGCCAGGGATAACACGGCTGCCCTCCATATAACCAAAGGAAAGCATTCAGGAATACATACCCACAACCTTGCATGCCTACCCTTAGACCTATCAAGCATCTATCACTCATTAATTTATGCCAATCCTTCTTAAATTATGTTCTATTTTTAATCCATTCTCTTCTTTGAACATGGCTAGCTAAATAGATGTATAGTTTCTTTTTATACTTATTCTGAAGGGAAATCTATAAGACAGAAATAGTGAGTGGTTGTCTGGGGAGGAGGTGAGAATGAGGAGGGACTGAAAATGGGGACAAGGGATCTTTACACGGTGTTGGAAATATTCTGAAACTGAATGGTGGCGATGGTTGCTCAAGTCTATAAATTTACTAAAAAATCATTGCATTAGACACTTAAGTAAATTTATGGTGTATAAATTATACTTCTATAAAGCTGTTTTTAAGGAAAGATAACATGTAACATCTGAAAATATGAAAGGGCCTGGCTGACTTTGTTGCCATCAAAATATGCACAAATAGGCCTCAAAACTGCCCACAGGGGCAGGGCAGTGCACTGGTTGCTTTCAGTGACAGACTTTTTTTTTTTTTTTAATAATTTTATTTATTTATTTTTCCCCAAAGCCCCCCAGTAGATAGTTGTATGTCATAGCTGCACATCCTTCTAGTTGCTGTATGTGGGACATGGCCTCAGCATGGCCAGAGAAGCGGTGCGTCGGTGCACGCCCAGGATCCTAACCCGGGCCGCCAGCAGCGGAGCACACGCACTTAACCGCTAAGCCACGGGGCTGGCCCTCAGTCATAGACTTGATTGAGCGGGAAGAAATGCACATGGATTTCGAGTCTGTAATGTCCCGGTACTGCTCTATTCCCTAGTATTGTGATAAGAAGAATCAGTTATAGCAGTCCAATCTCAGGAAATAGCTCCACCGCTCCTCACCTCTGAATTTATCAAACTGCCCAAACACCTACATGCAAACCTCTCAATTTAGTTTAAATAACCAAATTAGTTTGACACAGGTGTGAACCAACCTTCTTACCCCCCTTCTTTCCTTTATTCTTTCCTTCCTTTTCCTTCCTTCCTTTATTCCTTTTTTCCATTCTTCTTTCCTTTCTTCCTCTCTTCTTTACTTCCTGCAAATATTTATTGAACATTTCTATATTTCAGATAGCTTTATAGGTGCAGGGGATACAGACAAAATTATTTGTAATCGTGGAGCTTACATTTTAGTAAATTCCGTGTCTTAGTTATCTATTGCTGTGCAACAATATTACCTCAAACTTAGTACCTCAAAAAACACACGTTTATCATCTCGCAGATTCTGTGGGTCAGGACTTAGCTGAGTCTTCTACAAAGCTGCAAGCAAGGTGTTGGCCAGGGCTGCACTCTCATCTGAGGTTCAAGTGGATAAGAATCTGCTTCCTCGCTGCTGTGATGGCTGGCAGCCTACAGTTCCTTGTAGGCTGCTGGACCGAAAGCCTCAGTTTCTTATTGGCTGTTGGCCAGAGGCTGCCCTTAGTGTCTTGCCATGTGACTCCCTTCTTGGGCAGCTTACAGCATGTCAGCTTGCTTCTTCAAAGCCAGCAAGAGAGAGAAAGTGTCCTCACAGGATGGAATTACAATCTTATGTAATATAACTACATCCATGTAATCATGTACATCCATCACTTTTGCCATATTCTGTTGGTTAGAAGCAAGTCACAGGTCTCACACATACTCAAGTGGAAGTGACTACACAAAGGCATAAATACCAGGAGGTGGGGATCATGGGGGCACCCTACAGTCTGTCTGCTACAGTCCACTCTCTGACCCCCAATGATTCGTGTTTTTTCCATGTGCAAAATACACTTACTTTGTCCCGAGTTCCCCCAGAGTCCCATTCTATTATAGCATCTGCACAAAGTCCAGAATCTCATCATCTAAATCAGGTGCAGTAATGATGAGGCTCTTTAAGTTGATCTGTCAATCCATAAAACTAAAGGGACAAGTTATCTGCCCCCATACACACCCACCATACAATAGTTGAACAGGCATTAAAAAACATCTATATAGAGGCTGGCCTGGCAGCGTAGTAGTTAAATTTGCGTACTCCACTCCATCAGCCCGGGGTTCACAGGTTTGGATCCCAGGCGTGGACCTACACACTGCTTATCAAGCTATGCTGCGGTGGTGTCCCATATAAAGCAGAGGAAGAAGGGCACAGATGTTAGCCCAGGGCCAATCTTCCTCAGCAAAAAGAGGAGGATTGGCAATGGATGTTAGCTCAGAGCTAATCTTCCTCACCAAAAAAAAAAAAAAATCTATATAGATATAGACATTCCTGTTCAAAAAGGGACAATAGAAGGTACGAAGAAATCACTGGTCCATAGCAATTCTGAAATCCATTCTGGCAAATGTCGAGAGTTCCTTGATTAGGTTTCAAAGCCTGGAGTAATTTTTCAGAGCTCTTGGTTATGCCCTCTGAGCTCTTGGCTTTGACTTCTAATACTATTTTGCAAAGGGCTTGCTCAAAGATACATTTTGAAAACAAATAAATAAAAATAAAGAAGAAGAGGAAGATCACCTTGAAAATAATGCAAACGTGCCACCCATTTAATACTTTTTCTCCTAAAAGCTGAAGATGCTTCCTTAGATATTATCAGATTAAATGTCGCTACAGCCAAAGAAGAAAGATGAGTGCCCCCTGAGTCATATTTCCTTTTGTGTGTGGGGGGAGGTGGGGTAGGGTGTGAAAATTAGTACATGTGTGCAGCTGAGTATTTTAAACGGCCTGCATCCTGCCTGTAGAATTTTGGGAGTCCAACAGCCTCTTTCACTTTCTCCTTTCAGTCCAAGCCAGCATTGTTTTTGCTAAAGCAATTTTTTTACATTCTATGTGGGCCTTTTGTGATTTTCACTGAAGTTCATTCCATTAGACAAAGGAATAATGCACTTAAGCTTCCTGGAGGCCCAAGATTTGATCAAAAAGTTCCCTGAGGCACAACCTTAATCTTTCAAAAAGTCACTTTGTGTAACTAAATACTACTCTAGCCCTTTGGTCTTTCTGACGTTTTAATAAAAGGTGGTATAGTTATACCCTCATCTTTTCCTCTAGATCTTGCATTCGTAACGGTGCTTGGAGCCATTTCTTAAATTTAGTGTCTTTTGCCTCTGGAGAGGCTATTTCCCAAATCATCAAGCCCTGGTTCCTTTTTGTTTAACAGTTCTTGCATCAATTTATCTCCCTCCTCTGGAATTTCCCTTGCATAAACAGCAAAAAGAAACTAGGCAGTGTATTCAACACCTTCCTTGAAAATCCCCTTAGCTAGATAACTAAGTGCATCTTACACTTAACAGTTTATTTTTTTTCCACAGAATTGCAAGAGACAATTTTGCTAAGATTTCTGCCATTACATAACAAGGATTCCTCTTTCTCTAGTTTCCAATAACATATTCCCCACTTCCTTTTGAACTCTTATCAACAGCATCCTTAAAATCCAGATTTCTATGAACAATCTGTTGCAAGCAATTTTGGCTTTTTATACCATGTTCCTCAAAATTTTTCCAGCCTCCACCCACCACCCAGTTCCAAAGTCACTCTTAGATTTTTAGGTATTTGTTATGACATCACCCTACTCCTGGTACCAAAATCTGTATTAATTATCTATGTATCTATTACCACAAACTTAGTACCTTAAAAAAACACACTTATTATCTCACAGTTTCTGTGGGCCCGGAGTCTGAGCACAGCTTAGCTGGGTATTCTGCAAGGCTACAATCAAGGTGTTAGCTAGGTAGTCTCATCTGAAGTTTTCGTGGAGAAGGATCCAATTCTTTGCTCACACAGCTGTTAGTGGTATTCAGTGGCTTCCGGGTTGCCAGACGGAGAACCTAAGTTTCTTGCCATGTGGACTTCTTACAACCTAGCAGCCTGTTACTTCAAAGTTAACAAGACAGAGAGTGGGTCTCCTCACAAGACAGGCATTGCAATCTTATGTAACATAAGCACATGCATGTAATGACATATATCCCAACACCTTTGCTATATTCTATTGGTTAGAAAAAGTCACAGGTCATGCCCACACTCAAAGGAAGGAGACTTGGTATTCTTGGTGAATACCAAGAGTTGGGGATCATGAGATGACCCTAGAATGTCTCCTCCATGTTCCAGAACAAGGCTACCCTATACGAATTGATGAAACTTTAGCCAGAATCTGCTTTCCATTTCGTCTCAGCCCTCATTCTAGGGGGATAGCGTGTTATTTAAGCTGCTGAAATCAGCGCCCATGTTTGTGAAATACTTCTTCTTTCCATTTTCACCTCACAGACACATCAAGGAGGGTGATAAAAGGAGTAAAAAGTGTAATGATATTTTGGAAATTAAAAACTACAAAAAAATCACAGGTTATAATTCAGAGGTTTGAGCCCAATAAAAATGGGGAAGAAATTCACCAGGATGAGGCAGGTATAAAAAATGGGGTAAGGACGTGTATACACAAAAATACCCTATTGGTTTTCCTTATTTTAAAATGAATTTAATTAAAGAGAAAATTCTTAAGATTAGCAATAAGGATATTTTATATAATTATCTTAGAAATGCATTATGTTTTTAAAAAAAAACTTAGTAGTGGTAAAATTATAAACAACAAAATAGATGCTGTGATAATGATGCTTATATACTTGTGCTTTCGGTATCTTGTTATGCATGCCTTTTTATGCTGCCTGAGGAAAAATGTTTTAATTAAACAATTTCCTACAACAATTGAGATAATTCAAGGTAACTTCAAGGATAGTTTAAATCTACATACCACTGCATTAAATAGAGATGACTTTAGCCTGGTGTTTCGCTGTTATTATTAAACTAGATGGAATCTTAGTGTCCTTTTTAATGTTAAAAATATTAAATACCATGGGATGAATTTTGCTTGAGTTTGGTTGTTTTTTTCCTTTGGTGAGGAAGATTAGCCCTGAGCTAACATCTGGGCCCATCTTTCTCTGTTTTTGCATATGGGATGCCGCCACAGGATGGTCCAATGAGTGGTGTGTAGCTCTGCGCCGGGGATCTGAACCCTCGAACTATGAGCCACTGAAGTGGAGTGCGTGAATTTAACCACTATGCCACCGGGCTGGCCCCTTGAGTTTGGTTTTAAAATATTATTTGCTGGGGCCGGCCCAATGGCATAGTGGTTAAGTTCGTGCACTCCACTTTAGTGGCCCAGTGTTCACGGGTTTGGATCCCGGGCGTGGACCTACACACCGCTCGTCGGGTCAGGCTGTGGCGGCATCCCATGTGCAAAAATAGAGGAAGATGGGCCCAGGTGTTAGCTCAGTGTTAGCTCAGGGCCAATCTTCCTCACCCAAAAAAAATATATATAGATTATTTGCCAACCTTAAATAACTGTGTCCCATGCACTATTCTAATTGCTTTACATGTATCAGCTCATTTAATCCTCACAACAACTATACGAGGGACATGCTATTTAATTGCCATTTTCCAGATGAGGTAACCATACAGAGAGAGATTAAGAAATTTTCCCAGTTTCCCTCAGTTGGTAAGTGACCGAGCTTGGATTAAAACCCAGGCATCTCATTTCAAAGTCCATGCTCTTAACCACGACACAGCTGTCTCTCTTAATGTGGGTTGTGCAAGGATTTATTATTATTTGACTTACCTTAGGAAGATGAAAAGTGCTCTAAATATTCAGATGATTTTGTATTGTCAATTCAGTTTCTAATGAATGGGCGGGCCAGGGAACAACGGCAGTAATTTACTTAAATAAACCATAAAAACAATGTAATGTATTATGCACTTAAGTTGCAGACATTGAGAAAAGGTTTATTAAATTGAAATTTATAAATGGCAGTTCTAGAGGAGACTTTATTAAGGAAAAAATAATGACTAAGATGAGTTTGCTCTTGGGAAGATCAGACAATCCTATCATACAAAAAGAAAAGATAATTATCTAGTAAAGAATTTCTAATACCAAGACTTAATTTAGGGAGGCTCAAAGAAATAGAAACTAAAGCATTACATTTTAAAAATAGACATTTCAAATGATATTTCTTAAAATGGGGTTGTATTATTTAAATTTAACTTAGAGTAAAATGGAAATTTTCTTTAATCTTGTTATGTTGATTTTCCATCGCTCACTTCGACAGAAAAACATGCACAGATTACATGGAGGCAATGGCAATCACTGCTTATATAATCCAGCAGATACCACGGGTCATTTTACCTCATGCTCTTGTGGATATATTCCGTATTCTGCTAGAATGAGTTACTCTCTTTGTGCCTCCATTTCTCAGTTTTCTTATATCAATGAAATTGTTTTGAAAACCTACAACAGGCTCATTATGAATTTTAAACACCTTGTAAGAAAGCCACTTATTATATGTAAAGAATTCTACCCGTCTGCTTACATAACTCCCCAAATATGAAAAAGAAAAGGAAGAAAGAAGGAAAGCAAGAAAGCAATCCAGCAGTTTCTATCTCTTATAAGGCACTAATTGTCAATTTGACAACATAAGTTATCACTTCAGAGCTACTAAAGGCAACTACAGAAATATTTTTGTGAGGCATCTTATTACTACCCAAAATAGTGAAACAAGAAAGCCAAATGAAAGTCATTTGAATCAAATGTCCTTAAGTCTTCCAGCCTCCTTCATGGAATCCCCAATTCCTTTAGGTTCTAGTCCCCATGGCACCTACTAGGGTTTAAGTCCAGTGTCCTAATATTGCTGAGAATTCTCAGAGCAGAGCAGAATGGGAATCTGGAGGAGAAGTAAAATCTCCCTGACCTCTCCCTTTAAATTACTGTCCCTGCTTAATTTGTGATTGCTACTCACTGTCTAGCCTTCTGTGGCTGCTATCCCCTCTCCTTACTAATTTGCCCCACCTTGGATATCATCCCTTTCCTAATTACCCAAATTAAAACCAACACAAGGATATTATGTATAAAAAATTTAACTGAAGATTTAATGACAGCAAAGAATAATTATAACATAGAACAAGAAGCAACTTTGAATTTTATGTCAGACACTACTGTTCCAAAAAACTCACCTCTACTCCTGACCACAGGAAATCCCTTACCAACAAATCCATCCTTACTTAGGCTGTGCTTCCATTCTGCTAGGACCCTCCTCTCATGAGAACTGTATTCTCTATTTTCCGATTCCAGTGACAACCAAAGAGAGAGCACACATTTTTAAAATATGGTTTTCTCTAAATTGTCAAAGATCAAATTCTTGGTCAGGCCTTTATCCCTCATCAATTTTTGCAATTAGAATAGTGGAAAGTACAAAGTACTGGGCTTGCACTTGTATTAAAATTTATTTCCTTTTTTCTTCAAAACAAATGCAGGTTACGTAGATTTTTTTCTTTACATTAGGATATAGAAATGTTTGAGAATTCTGAAGCAACTCTCCAGACACACGCACACACACACACA